CAATACCGATCCAAATTATTTTTGGAGCTACAAAATAATTCAAGTAGTCAAAGCTATAATGCTTAAGCTATTTCAAACGATTTACTTCTTTTCTTTGCTCTATTTCTTCCTTCCTTTCTTTCCTTCTTTCCCTTTTATCCTTAAACGTGTTTGGTATCTGGGTAGTCAGACCTGACAGATTAACAGACCGACGAGACTTTTAACTAAGAGCAAAGGTCCACTGGACCGCTTTGACGAATAATGACGAATAGTAACTAGAGAACTTTTACTAAGGTGACGTTGATTTTATCTGATTGATCTCAAGCCAGTCTACCTCCCGTGTCACTCTGGCGCATTATTTCTGTCAAAATATGCTTTGTTTAAGTTTTAGATGTACTATAGTGATCTTTGAATCTAATCAATTCGTTCGCACATAGTTTGAGCGATACTCTGGTGAATGCAAGGCGTACGGGGTTCATTCGTACTAATTATTCGATAAAATCACCTTGCAGCACCATAAGTAACGGTATACTTTCAAAACTAGCAATACGAATTCGTAACTACAGTTAGGGCAAAGCCATTAAATACAGCTTTCCGCCATCGTGGTTACTAGATTATAGACAGGGAAATACAATTTGTTTGAATTCCAGAAATATTAACAGGTCTTTGAAGCTGATCCGTATTTTGAAATCAACCTTAAAGGATACAGGTAAAAGCAAAATGGGACTAATTGAGTCAGCAAGAGGTATTTGCCGTTATGTAGCTTCAAGGCACTTGGAAAGCAATTGAATAGATCTTTCCGTCAATATATATAAGCTCCAGAAATAATGAGAGGCCTTTGAGCCAATCAATACAATAATATATAGCTTGAAAGAAGCTAAGGAGAATGCAAGATGTTCAAGATATATTCGTACTGATTGGTGGATAAAATCAGCTTCACAGAAGAAACAGTAACAAGCTAATTGAATCAGCAATAGGTATTCGTCGTCACACAGCTCCAAGGGCACTTAGCGGAAAGCAATTAAATACGGCTTTCCGCCATCGTGGTTGGCAGCAGCAGCCGCAAAATGTCAATATTTAATTTCAGCTCTTGGTGAAGTCCATTTCGTTCACTGCTCTCTCGCCATTCGTGCCGGCCTGCTTTATTTGAGGTAATATCTATAGGCTCCATCAGGAATTGCCCGGATCTTCTCACAGGGTGACCCAAAACCTCTGATTGTAGGACATTTGCCCTTGTATTAAAGTCTGTTATATTTAGAACCACAAACCCAGAACTACAATAAAAGGCTATCGCTATACATATATATAGAACAAATATCAGAATAATTCAATTCATTTAGAACACTGCCTATTTCTAGCAACTATTTTCATGTGTAATCTGGAGTTAATATTTCTATTATACGGTGCTTTTCTTTAATGCCACCTCTCCTTTGATTTTTTGAACGCATCAATTCAAAAAATTAAAACTTGAGTTAATGAAATTGATGCGTGGATACCATATCTTAGAGTAAAATTGACAGATGAACATGTCAAGCTGGCCGCTGGGCGCCATCTTGGGAAAAATATATGAAGACGGGGGTCTTAATAATAATAATAATAAAATGTCTTTATTAGGCACATTATATACACTACAACATAATGTGACCTCTACGTAGGCGAAGTCTAGCTCTTGGCTACTCTACTTAACCTACCCAAATATGTACTAAATTGAAACACTCAATCAAAGGAAACTTTGACAAGCAAAAGACGCTTCAAAACAACGAGCTTGATAGCTTCCTAGCATACATATATACACACATATATTACGTAAAATAAAATTAAATGTAAGAATTAAAAACTAACTTTTCCACAATTACTACAATGACAAATAAATCTGTTTCACATGCTTACGAAATCTGTTTACTGGCCAATCCTTTATATTGTCATCTAATTCGTTATAAATCAGGATAGCATTGTAAGTGTATGAACTACGAAATAAAGTTGTTTTATACATAGGGATCTCTAGTCTTTTTTTGTGTCTGAAATCAATGTCTGAATTATTTCGTCTGAAAACAAATTTCTCATAAAGATACAAGGGGGATCTAGAAGATATGATCTTATGTGTAAACACTGCTATATGGTACTTGCAAGCATTTTCTATACACATCCAACCAAGCTGAAATCTCTTTATGGAAACATGATCATACTTCTTGAGATTAAATACAAATCGACAACAAGTATTTTGGAGTTTTTGGAGTCTTGCTTTTGTGATAGAATCAAGACAATGATAGAACACAGTGCTACAGTAAAATAAGCTTGGAAATATAATAGCCTCACATAACTTTTTTCTAACTTTAAAATTCAAAATAGAGCGATTGACATAAAAACACTTCAACGTTGCATAACATCTTTTTAAGATAGACGAAACATGCTCCTTAAACCGTAAAGTATAATCAATAATCAACCCTAAATTTTTTGTAGTATTTACGACAGCTAGACGCTCCTTGTCGATTTTTACATCAAGAGAATTCAATACAGTGTTACGTTTGACAGCAGGACAAAAAAGCATCACTGAGCACTTATCCTTATTGAGCTTAAGATTATTACCATTTGAGTATCCTACTATTGCCTCCAAATCATCATTAAGCTCATTGATTGAAGTATGCAAAGTGTTACTATTAAAGCTTTTATATATCTGTGTATCATCGGCATAGCACATCACAGAAGAGTTTTTCACAGAGCTACCCAAGTCTATAGTATAAATTAAGTACAACAAGGGCCCTAAAACTGAACCCTGAGGGACACCTGATGTTATATCAATCGGACTAGATATAGTGCTGTCTATCTCTACTACTTGTTTACGATTTGAAAGATATGTTATAAAAAACATTAGAGGTATGTCTGAAAAACCAAAAAACTTCAATTTAGCACATAAAAGCTCATGATCTATTTTATCGAACGCCTTAGAATAATCTAATGATACAAGTGCTGAAGCATCTCCCTTATCAAGCGAAGCAATGATGTCATCTAAAACCCTTGCTAAAGCTGAAGTTGTACTAAAACCACTGCGGAAACCAGATTGACACTTGGGAAAGAAATCATTATTATAGAAATAATGATAAACCTGATGTTTAATCAATTTCTCCAATATCTTCGATATAACAGGAATCAAAGTTATAGGTCTTAAGTCTGAGAGACATTTTGGATTTTTACATTTAGGCAAGGGTTTGACAAGAGATAGTTTCCAAGCATCAGGGAAATACCCAGCCTCCAGGCAACAGTTCAATAAATGCGTCAGGGGTAGTAATACTCGAGGCAAGCAAAGCTTCAGCATTGAGACTGTTATACCATCCGAACCTGCTGCATTAGATTTTAGGGACAGAATAATGTCTAGCATATTTTGTGGGGTAGCAAAACTAAATTCAAATCTAGCACTTTCATTAATTTTGGTACTATTAAATTTATCAACTAGATCCTTGCAATTGCCCGAAGGCGTGAAAACGGAAGAAAAATAATTGTTTACTTCATCGGCATTCTTCAACTGTGTAGGTAAAGATCTATCTACATTAGTTTTGAGTTTCAATGAATGTACAGCTTTCCAGAGATGCTTGTTACTATTTAGTTGTTCATTGAAGCTTAGATATGCTGCTTTCTCCCGCCTAATAGCGGAAATGACATCATTTCTTAATTTCTGGTAATATTCGAGACTAGCTGGACTTTTTAAAATCTGATATTTTCTAAAGGCTTTATTTCTCTCGGAAATCAAAAATTTTATGCCACCTGTGAGCCATGGAGCATAAGGTTTAGTAATACGTGATGAAATAACAGGAGCATGGACATCAAACAAATCCAAAATATGATTAGAAAAAAACGTAGCTTTATCCTCTAAGTTAGTGATGTAATATATATCGTCCCATGGGATTTTATACAAATCCACCAAAAACTGATCTTTACAACAGTGTTTAAAATCTCTATATTTGACAGTCTTTTGAAAATTCTTAGGCCGTGTGATGTTGAAGTCACATATGACTACATTATGATCTGACAAATTCGGAACAGGTACAGAGCTAGTTGAAATTAATGATTCAGCTAAGTTATTTGTTGTACAAATGACATCTATGGAGGTTGCCGTGGTTAAAGTTATCCTAGTTGGTTGGGTGATGTGAGATACCATATCGTAGCACGCAATGCAATCTAGAAAAGAATGGTCAGTAATTTGATCAACGTTTATATCACCCAGCAAGCATATATTATCATACTGAGGAGACACAAATGAGAGAAAGTTGTCTATATGATCAATAAAACTTGATAATCTGCTCGAAGGAGCTCTGTAGATAACACAAACCAAAATTTTTAGATTATTCAACACTATTTCAGCACAAACCTGCTCCATACCATCTGGACATAAAAAATCTTGCAATACCAGCTTACCTCTCAGTGAATCCCTTAAATAAACACCAACTCCTCCTCCACGTCCTACTCGATCAGTATGGAAAAAAGTGTACTCAGGAATATTTACTATATCTGCTGTAAAATCATTATTAATCCATGTTTCGGAGATACCCATAATATCATAGTTATCAGTAGTCAACAAATCTACAAAGGAATCAAAGCCAGCAAACAGAGATCTTACATTCAGGTGTCCAACAACAAAATGGTTATAAGTTTTTGTGCAATTATTCATAAGCAATCTGCATTTTCAAATTATCGATCTTCATTTTGTAATAACTGCAAGAGATATCACTTGCAACATGCTTTGTACACCAGTTAGTTTTATATCTATCATTATGAAACTTACAGTTAGGACAACAAGAATCATCAGCTTTACAATCTCTAAATTCTAAGCACTTAGAACAGACAACATCCTTGCTTCGGCAATCTTTCTTACCATGACCAAATTTACAACATTTGTAACAACGTAGCAAATATAAATTTTCCCTGACAGTACATCTCACCCAGCCAATAAAAACAAACCCTTTGCTACTAAGTAAATTAAACACAGAAGGAACCACCTCGATAACAACATTTTTTGTATTTTTAACCTTATAGCAACTAATTATTTTTATATCATCTGAATTAACACCTAAATTGTTATTGAATATTAAATCGTCAACAAAACTATCAACAAATTCAAGTTTATCTGGACCAGGATTTTTGAAACAGTCGTTAGGTACACCCTGTATCAACATTCTAGGAAACATTTTGGTAGGCTCACAAACATCGAACTTATTTCCTAAATCAGATTTTAGAGAATCTTTTAGAATCTCCACATCTTTTTTACTATTACAGCTGATCATCAGACCATTTTTGGTGAGTTTAGTCTTGTTGATATTGACATTAAGAGCACCAGGCGAATAACGAGATTTAAAATCATTTTCAACAGTTTTGTACGAAGTAGAACGATCTGCAGGCTTAATCAACAAATATGAATGGTCCATTTTTTTCACGATAGCACTGTACGAAACACAATCTTTGTTTTTGCTGCTGTTGCCCACTGGCTGACTTCGGAATTTATCTTCAAGGTCACTTATGAGTTTTTTCTGAATTTCCACAATATAACCTCTCTCGTTTGCGATTTTATCGATCAAATTTTTTTCTCTTACCAGGCACTCAATCTCTTTTTCCAATACAGCTAAATCACTTTCGGGCACACTAGCACTGCTCCTTGACGCCCGTGAACCAGATACCATTTTAACTTCAGACTTTTCAGGTATTCGATTAAATACTGCTTCCCCAAAATCTGCCATTTTCAGCTTGCCATTTATCATTGGAAGACAACCGCTGCAGAACCATTTGATTCCCGCACAATCACGCTTAACTTTAGCTAATTTGTCGTCGACCTCAGCACAATGATGATGAAACAACTTTTTGCAAAAATCGCAAGAAATATTCTTGGTGTTCACAATGAAATTATCTGAGCATCGAGCACACGCCTGTATGCCAGACGCCATCTTGTAGTCACACATCATTTTGAAGCTCCTGGCAAGTACTTCATAACCCTAGAATATAAAGTCAATACCTTTACCTACTACAAAATGGTGGTACATTTAATAATTACTTGAACACAAACCCACTAACATGCATATCTCTACAAATAATTGTAATTCCCTGCCGTATCCACAGCAACAGCGATAAAAACTTGTTTTGTGATTTTTTGTAGACAGTGACAATAATATCAGTACGAAAACAAACATCATTGTACAGTTAAAATATTCTTATTTAGTTTTCGGTTTTAGTGCTAGATACTGTTTGAACTATTTTTAAAATGGTCAATTCTCATCTATTGGAAGAAAAAATCGGAGCGATTTTTATTTATGGTGCGACGCTTAACTTTCACGAGACCTAAAGGATTTTTAATGATCGTTTCCCGAATCGTCCTATCTGTAGAAAATATTTAAGGAAACTTTTATTTAAATTTACAGCTACTGGTAGTGTAAACAACAAAAAGGCTTGTCCTTCTAATGTATGGAGAGTTTTGAAAAAGAATACGTATCACCCATACAAAATTCAAATGGTACATCAGCTAACTGAAGATGATCCTGATCGAATAACAGAATTCTGTAAGACTATGACGGAAACCGTTGCACGGCATCCTGCCTATATCCAAAATATTTGCTTTAGTGATAAATGTACATTTTTTCTCAACGGTAATGTGCATAGACAAAATTTTCGTTATTGGAGTGACACCAATTTCACGTCTTCCGGAAAACTCATATTCAATATCCACAAAAAATTAACGTTTGGGCTTGGATATTGGGAAATCATATTGTAGGGCCTCTATTCATCGAACAAACTTTAACCGGAGAATTGACCATCTAACCACCGAAATCGTCGAAGCGAATCCTAATGAATTCGATACTGGTATTGTATTCCAGCAAGATGGTGCTCCACCACACAAGACAAGTTAGAAATTATTTAGGTAACAATTTCTCCGGTCGTTGGATTGGCTGGGAGGTCCTGTGGAATGGCCAGCTCGCTCGCCAGATTTGACATCTTTAGACTTTTTTTATGGAGCTATTTGAAGCAAAAGGTATACGAAACTGAACCTGCTTCTATGTTGTATATGCGGATAAGAATAACAAATATTTGTAGAAATATCGATGTTACTATGTTTGAAAATGTTCGACGCGAAATTACGAACCGGCTGTTATTGTATCAAGAAGTTCAAGGCAACCATTTCCAGCATCTTCTAAACTGAACTCAACGTATTAATTCGAATTATCAAGATAAATGTCAATGTATTCAGGTAATTATAAAATGTACCACCATTTTGCAGTAGGTCAAGGTGTTGACTTTATATTCTAGGGTTATAAAGTACTCGTCACGAGCTTCAAAATGACGTGCCGCAAGACACCCGTTTTTATATATTTTTTTTCCAAGATGGCGCCCAGCGGCCATCTTGACATTTTCATCTGTCAGTGTTACTCTAAAATATGGTATCCACGCATCAATTTCATTACCTCAAGTTTTAATTTTTTGAATTGATCCGTTCAAAAAATCAAACGGGAGGGGGACATTAGAGAAAAGTACTGTATATGAACCAATATTTGTAAGCTTTACAAATTGCGACAACATCGATGAATAAAAAAAATATAACTTTATGAAGTAAGTCCTCCCCTACTCTCTGTAACTAAGGGAGCTCTCTTATTTCGATAACGCCTAAGGGAGGATTGACCGCGCAAGGGAAGAAATGCTCCTTTGAGAAAGGTACCCGTCTAGGCATTGTTGAAATAACTACTTATGTGAGAATGTTCACTTGGCGAGGAAGTATCGTAATCGTAGAAAAATCGAACACTAGGTTTTTTGGATGTCACATGACGAAAAACCATGTCACTAATTTACGTCGGTATTTCGGTCCGTCTGATTGTCCGCTAATTCTTGACCCCTCTATATCTTGGAAAGTATCGCGATTTTCATGAAATTTTGAAACATGGCTATTACTAAAAGCTAACAACAAAAAGGCTCAGTAGGTTTTGTAAACCGGTCCAGTGGCAGGCCGCCGAGTTACTGGCAAGGAGTTGGAAAATATTAAGAATCGCTCAAACTTCCTTTTTTGACTTTTCAGAAATTCTTGTTCATTTTAATTAATGCTTTTGGGGTAGTTAAAAACGCTTCATCTTAATTATCAGTGGAAGACGTTCTCTTATTAACAATTTTCTCATTTCGATAACACTACGCATCACTCAGATGTAATAGTTATACAGGCTACATACTTACACCTTTTGAGTAGTCCATGCGATCGCCCGATGAAGATCCAACGATTTCGAACAGATTAGGAGGAGTCAATACCATAAGTTAACATTACACGTGTAGCTTCAGTGCATACTTGTGATTTGTCTACCAATGCCTACCAAAAGTAACAGCGTTGTATCAACATAATAATAATCCTTGCCAGTGGAAACATCTACCTTCATTAGGGTTATGCTGCTCTTTACAAATTATGTAAGAAGTACAATGTTCTGAAATCGCTCAACACCATAATTATCTGCAAATAGTCGCACTTACAAAAAATTCGCTAAGACTACGAGTTTAATGACAGAGCTGTCATAAAATTGACATATATCAAGTGCACTTTGATCCTCACCACATACTCTGAGAATAAGGAGGCAAACAAATCCTTGACTCCTTCACCGTTGCACTGCTGCCCTCCCTCGTAAAATGTATATTTTTTAAATAAGCCGAACATAATTTAATTGAGAACAGAATTGCGGGAGAAGTACAGATTCAATTTGCTTGACGTAATTTTTTGAATTGGCTAGAATATATGGTAATCAACAGTAAAACTGATAAAGGTTTGGTCTGGCAAGTTGTTTGACATATCAACACCATAGGAACAATGACGTTTCTTGACGTTCGGCAAAGTTACACTGAGTGGCAAATCGAAGTTTACGTGAAGAACCGCTGTGATATTGTTCTATAATTTTTGGGATTTGGCAATTTTTTTGGCGGTAAACATTTTTGAAAACTCCCTAAATTTGCCTTCCACAGTCCTCGAAGTTTCTGACTAATTTAGGGCGCAACCTATTCTGAGGAGTACTGAAACTGTGTAGTTTAACGAGGCCGGTTTTTGAATCTCTTGTGCCAATAAAGAGCATTTGTGCACCAAGTATTTATTTGTCTATATATGGTCGTATGTGAGAATTGAAAATAGACGTGAATTCCTGAGAAGTTAGTCTACTTGACATCATTTTTACTCCAGCTCTTTTTCAACCAATTATGGACAAATATCCTTGAGGGGGCCATTGCCATTATAACAACGTATTGATCCACACTTATATCAATTACTACAATGGGTACCAGATTAGTTGTGAACATAAAATCCATTAATCTAAACGATTGATTGTATGACGAACTTGTTGTTTTGCTTTTGTTTTATCTTCACACGACGCGCATGGCTCTACGAGCGTGTTTGCATGTAGATATGGGAGAACTCCACAAATCAATATTGTTATATTTATATATATATATATATATATCTCTTTTATACTCTAACATATATGGGCTTTTCATGATGGAGTCAGGGCAATGTACGATGTATTTATTATGCATGGTTGCTTATGTATTTAGCTATTGTATTTATCAAAAGACCATACCCACTTGTTTCCTTCCAGATTCATCTGTCTACAAGACTAGACTTAAGGCCACATTCATGAGTTGCTAATGAGCACGAAACATCGCTGTCTGCGGTTGGTCATGGTTACAGGAGGCGGAAAGCAAACATGCCGATTTCAGCAGATTTATACCGATTGTAAAAATTTTCGGTAATGGCATAGGCCTTGACGTGTGAAAACACAATGCAGCTAGATTATCTTTACGTTTTTATGAGGTGCTCCCGTTGTTTAGTTTGAGTACAAAGTATGACCATTTAAGTGTTGACAGAAGTGGTTTCTTAAAGTGTCGCTACGGAGTCGTTGTTGACTGTTGGTTATCGTGCCATTATCTTATATTCTTAACTTCCGCCATTGTCTGCCAATTAAATAATGTGACAACGACATAAAAAGTGTTTGGAGAGGATAAGCCACTTTTGAGGATCATCGAGAGATCGTATTTTAATTTCACACTTGACTTATTTAATTTAGGGGAGAATCTAAGATGAGGTTGACCATGTGAAGTAACCATAAAGAATTTGGAACTTGTGAGAAAAGCTGAAATTAAAGACGAGCCAATCACATTCAGAGAGAGCTAGCAGACATCCTAAGTATTTCTGAATGTACTAATGGGCAAATTGCATTCGACCTTTGAAATAATAATAACAATAATAATAATTATTATTTTCGTAAATCTATAAAGTAAATAAATATGAAACCCCATATAAGGCAATGTCTATGTAAAGGTTGCTCTAATTATACAGGGTGTTTCAGTTTATTGTTGCATAACCTTAAGATTCGATAGAACTTTTAAAATTAATGCATAAAGTTTATATAAACATGGGTCGAAAAACGCGTTTCATCCGAAATACAGGGTGTTTAAATTTACTTTCTAAAATAGTTTTTTTTTTAAATATTTCGAACAATATTTGATGTATAACAGTGAAAATTGGTATACAAGGGTTTTTTGGTACGACAAAACGAACCATGGGCATAGTTTTACTGTAGCCGCTAGAGGGCGCTCTCTACTGTACCTGTAGTGTATTAAAATGACCGAAAATTTTTTCTTAGTGCAATTTTTTGGTTTTTGAATAAAAAAAAGATTCTTCGCACTTTTCAACATGAAAAAGCTTTCTTGTAAGTTTTCGTTATATACTAAG